AGTTACAATGAGCACAACTTATCCTTGCAATCGTTGTCTAGCAAGACCCAATGGATGTAGGTAGATCTCATTACCAATGCTTTATGACTGATACCTTTGCTTTTACAGCAGAAATGTTGCTGCATTATAAAAATTAATCATCAGATTTTCCTATTAACTTAATTATTTTAACTATAGCAGGCAAGTTGGAGAATTGCTGGATTACTGAACATGTTTGGTATGGTATGAAATCCTCCGATTTCTGTACAATGCTAATTTACAGTGGTAGCCCAATTAGTATATTGAAGAAACATTAAAGACAATCCAGATGAGAGTTACTTATTCTCCTTTCATCCTTTTGTTAACATCTCCCAGTAAGAACACAAGACCGGAAGGGATCTCCTTAGCTAACAAATCTGGTCCTCTGCCATCACAAGCAATCATGTCATACGATTGCTTTTGTAAACGCATCTGACCTCAATTTTAAAGTACTTTTACTTACTACTGTACTCTGTTGCTTTTCTGATACTTGGCCAATCTTCTTGTAATTTTCAGTCCAAATTTATCACCAATTTGTGCTAGTTGTGGAACTGAGTCAACAAATGGTGAGAAGTAAACAGAGAACACAGACTCCAAAGGAACAAAAAAATAAAACTGGCAAAATTGAGAAGATTGTACACTGGCTAAGTCCCATTTCTTCATTGTAGTGCACAAAAAGATTAGCCTGGCAGCAAATCAGCTCTGCTGTTTCACAGTTACAGAAATTTACTCAAATGGAGACTGATTTCAATTGCAAGATGGATCTGATAATTGTGCTATGACCAGTGTTCTTGAGGTACTTCTCCAATGAACAGGACACATGTATTGCGTGATTTCTATTAACATCTGGCTTAGATATGGCAATTTGCTTGTAGTGCATTAACACATACACTGCCATCAGTAGAAAGCAGGAGCCAAACCCACAAGTCAGCCATGCACAGGATTTCTACTGAGTTAAAAAAAAAAAGAAAAAAAAAAGAAAAGAAAAGAAAAAAAAGAAAAGAAATCACATATATGGAAGGGCTTGCATCATCAGACCAAAAATTCAACCCTTCATTTTTTGTCTTATTTGAAAAACGACAGTTGACCAACTGCACGAGACCTTATAGCCACCCTGTATCTTACTTTGGAAATTCTCTAGCATTTTTATGTAAGATGAGTTAGACCTGTGAAAGTGGGAAATCCTTTTAGAACAATTTAATGTGGACATAACACCCAATTAAAACGGAAAGCTATAGAAGATTACACAGAAATGAAAAACAGTTTGTTTTTTTCTTTCTTATAGAAATGGCACATTTTGGCCAGCATACTGTCACTAGTGTTCATCAAGAAGCTGTAGAAAGGAAACTCATTAAAACAACCTTATTGTTGATCAATGTGCTAGATGGATGCTGGATCATTATCACTAACACATACAAAGATTAAACTTTTTATTGCTTCTGTCAGTGATGTTAAGAGGCTATATCAGATTTATTTTCCAGTTGCCTGGCTGACTACAGACATACAACATTCATTAACAGTCGCACAAGAAGGTTAATGGTCTTTTGTAAGATTACCCAGTTCCTAGTTATGGCAAACAAAGCAGCCCAGGTGGCTTAGAGAGATTTGGCCTTTCTTTTATTACTTTAGTAATCATAAGATAATGTAGTTATTATGGCAGTGCTACCAAAAGACAAGAATTTAGAAGTTGGTGTTCACTCTACTGTAATTCTGTTGTTTTCATTGTCTGAACTTCTAATTTCTTCTTTAACCTTCTATTTTGCTTATATTGTAACACAGATTGATATTAGTTCTGTTTCCCTGACTCAAGTGCTCCCAATTTGGATGAAGAAAGTAAGATAAAGGTAAAGAGCATAAAACCTAAGAAGTACTTGTACAAGCAGTCTTACCTTGAATGCTCAACTTGTCTGAAAGTCCACTTCAATATGAAAGCGCAGATTTAAGTTTAACCCCCCTATTTAAAAATTCTGGCCATATTATCTGTTGACACAGTACTGGAATTTATTTTACAATGGCTCACTAAAAGATATACAGTATTTTAATGTTTGCTTCCATTCTGGTTATTTTTTTCCTTCTAAACACCTAACCAACAATAAAACTAATAAATAGCATTAAACACTGCATAGAGAAGCAGCCTGAGAAGTGCTGGTAACTATCTTGTCAACTTCTATTTTCTAAAAATGGAAGACAAGTCCAAGAGATATATTTTCTTCTCTCAGAAGAGTCTAATGTTACCTAGCCATAGGATAATATTTATTTCATTGATAAAAATAATTTTCTGTTACTTCATCTTTTGTATGTGTGTCTAACATTCCATTGGTTACAAATTTCTAATCAAATTTCTTGAAGGTTAACATTTAGTAACTGCTACTCTGGTTATGAAGCTTGCTATCAAAAAGATTACAGTATTTTATTTATTCTATATAAGAATTTAGTGATGCTAGTAAATATTTTAATATGATACATGTTTTTTTAAAATTAATGTAGAATTGTGCCTTCTTTGAAAAGCAGTACTGCAACTTTATTTCTACCGAGGATCCCCCTACATGTGCTGAATTCCACTGCCTCCAAATAGAAACCTATCATAGAGCCTCCCCTCCCATCTACACATCTATGGGCAGTGCGTTCTCACCAGTCATTCATTCTCATTTTTGGCACAGCTGATTGCATTTCCAAAAAGCTTGTGTTAAATCTCTTTATTCTAACACTTTCCATGCAGATATCTTTGGAGGACTGCTGTCTTCACACCAAACTGAGCAGTCCAACATGAAACAAGGAATAGTTTTAAGGAAAGAAAAAAAATCTTATCCCAGCCTCATTCAGCTTGCCAGACCTGCACATCTGGACAACTTGGATTGGGCAAGACTTTCAGGGAGTGGTTACTTGAAGGAGTTCTGCAGTTTATATATTTAACAGGACATAAAGAATGGGTTGAAGCAAATGAACAGAGCTGTAAAAAACTAAACCACGGGGTGCAGAGGAATTTAGGCCATCAACTTCAAGCCCGAGCAACCCACAATCCCAGAGCTAGAAACTGGCGATGAGAAGGTCACAAACTAAGCACTCTTCCTAGGCCAAAGCGTGGGGCTTATCTCCGGCCCTGGGAACGGGCATGGTCCTTCCTAACTGAAAAGGCAACCTTCAGCTTCTTACAGGGCAAATCCAGCGTGAGGGAGGCAGCAAACAGCCACGCTCACATTGTTCTCGACACACGATTACTGGGCATTATCACAGCATCGCTAGCGCCTGTTCCCTGCAGCTGCCAGGCACATCCCTGCAAGATGCAGCGCCCAGATGATGGCTGCGATCCCGCCCGCAGACCAGCCGGGCAAGATGCTCTTTCTGCACCCGAACCAAGCCCTCTCCTCAACCCTCCTGATCTTCCCGTGCCTCTACGCGCTCTACTAAAACCCCGGCAGAGACAATACGCATCGCATTCTGAAAAATGCCCCCTGCCGCCACTTCCCCCTCCTTGCTCGGCCCCTGGTTGCCCTCCGACCGGGGTGGCACGCCGAGGAGCAAGACCCGCCGTTCGATCCTGGGCACGGCACGGCACGGCA